AAACAAACAAAAAAAAATCTGCAAGTGGTATTTCCCTTCAAAATGCTAATCAGCATACACAGTTGAAAACAACAACAAAAAAGGCTCAACATCTCTGCTAAAAATGGCTTCCAGTATTATCTGAACACCAGCAGACAAAAGTTTCAGAACTCAGTTATACATGCAAAAATATATTTATGTAATACATTCATCTAAGTATGTATTATGAACTAGATTTAAAAATGAATTTAATAGTCAAGATTTTAAGATATTTAAGTCAAAGCTCGTACTCACTTGTCCAGATTCTTTTAGGATAGCATTTTCCACAAGAGTTAACTAAAAGCTAACTGATACTACTAACAGTTTTACTCTTAGTTATCTGTTCAGTGCCCTTATCCTGAGCCTCTAGTTGTGACTTAACACCTGCAGTTTCCTCTCAAGGCCATGCTGCCCAACTTCTTGATTCATAAAGGGCTTTAGACTGAAGAAAGACAACTTCCATCCGAGACAGGTAAAAAAAGAGGACATAAATTAGGTCTGGTTAAAATGAAGGTTTCCTCATTACCACATGAGTAAACTGTTTGATTCAAGTTTCTAGTCAAGCAGAAACATGAGTGGACACTACAGGTCTATCACTGTAAATGTCAACCACCAATGACACATCTATTGTATAACAAAATAACACAAAGTGACTTGTTTTTAAAACAATTACATGATGGCAACAAACCTTGTTGTTGAATGATTCTCAATCAGGTACCAGGCAGCAGAAAAGTTTTCACTAGTGAAATCAGCGCTCATCCCAGGAAACAGTGACTCCAAATCTTTTTGAGGAAATCTGCCTCTGAAAAATGAATATTCATTTCTTCAGTGAGACATATTGTCATGAACAGCTTACAACTAAAAGGGTCACATTTAAAAAAAAAAAAAAACCACCAAAACTAACAACAAATCTTGTGCCAACAAGACGTAAATATAAACTTGTATCTCACCTGAAATTAAATCTGGTATTAGAGACACATGTAGTGTGACTGGGAAAAAGACTGAAATCTAACCTAAGTAAAACTAACTTTACCATTTTAATTTCACCATTACACATATGATGAAAACGTTGCCTGGACAAAATGCTTCTGAAGAAAGAGAACTGCTGCCTTTAGAAAAATAGGAATAGACAGAGTCACCATGATACTACTAACATTCAAAAGCAAGACCACTAATGCTGAATATACTCAAACTCAACTCTACCTTTTCAATAAGAAAATCAGTGCACCAGGTCAAGTAAATAAGAAAGAATATTCTCTGTAAGCCACGAACCAGTATCTACCTAACTTTAAAATTACAGGACATCACCAGGCTGACAGCTTGTAAGTGATCTCACACCGTCATTGTCTACTGGCCCACATGCAGCAGAAGTCCCACAGAGTCATGAAGGAAGACGCACAGGGAATACTTTAATTATATACAAACACTGAAAGAAATGCCAAGTTAAAATCATCCTCTTGCAAAACAGAATACACTGATCTGTCCAGAGTACATGAAACATAAAAGTGGGCATGTTTCGAGTGACAAACACCAGATTTTGTTTGTTTTTCTTCAGTCTTACAATGCACAAAGATAGCATGTGAGCCAATTCTTTCTGAAAGCAGATTATCTACAACAGATTTTTGAAACTAAGATACTAATATAAAAATTTATTCCATTTATTTTAAGTCAGTGTAATAAAAATATTTAAAGTGCTTTTTGACAGAAACATGACAATCTTCATCTCTCACTTCAGACACACACTTAACACTCGGCCATGTTCATTCCACCATGCACTCTCAGTACATCACCAGGTGCACTCACCACTCTATTCTTTACCACCAGCTGCATCCCATCTTCAGAAACTAACTGTGGCAAACAAGTTTCCTTTTGGTCAGCCCTGAATTGGTCAAGCAGTTGGACTAGATTATCATTGGAGGTCCCTTCCACCTGAAATATTCTATTCTAAAAATTTACTACATCATTTTTGGATCACAATGTCAAACTCAAAAGTCAATAAAATCCCTCTTGGAAGCTCACAAGCTAGGTGAAGTCTGCTATACAAAGTATACTGTACGCAAATGCAACCCTGCTGTACTTTGCATTTGAGATTAAACTTGGGTGGGGATATCAATCCAGAGACAGCTATTGGAATTGTATTTAATACGTATTAAAAGCATCTGAATGGACACGAAAGCAATGATTTGTTAGTTTTGGTTTTTCTGTAATCTAAACATATTTCAAGATAGCTAAAGCTGTTGTTATTACAAAAAGCAAACAACAGATTAAGTGAAGCAAATCTAAAGGCAGGCACATTAAAAAGTACAATTATACAGAAACAAGAGTTGTTTCCTCTAAGTTTCTATTTATATCCAAATGGCCATTAGCACAAGCAGGTACAAAGGACCTACATCCATAATGACATGGCTCAGAAGTCTTTCATCAGTAGCACCTGATTACAGCAGGGGCATGAAAAAAATACTCTTTAAAAACAGGCCAAAAAAAAAAATCAAATTAGATGCACAGAAAAGTGATGACAGATATGAAAAAAAGAGAGACAAGGAAAACAGTGTGAGAAACAAATATATCAACTAAAAATGAGGGTCCCAACATTTCTCTTATGTTCAGCGAAAACATGATAATGTTAATGTAAAAATTTATAAACGTAAGTAGTGAGATTCAGGATTACTAATGACCTTGAATTTCATGAATGCCAGTCAGTGAGCAGAAAATGCTGACGGATGTAAGAAGGAGAAGAAAGTTTAAATTTTTCCTTCCTTTAAATACATTTTAAGATATCTTATTTTTCATTCAAAGTAGCCAAAAATGCCCAGTAGGCATGTGAAATTGTAGGACACTACTTCACATGTGATACATGGCATAGCTGTCCAAAAAAGCTTTTATATTAAACCCACACATGGTGGTATCTTTGCGGTCAACTACATTTTTTAATGCTAAAAACCAAAAATAACAAAAGCTTTCAGTTACCTCAAAAGAGACTCAGACTTTCAGTGCAAGCACTAAGGGCAAGCACAATACAGAAGCAGAATTTTGTTCATATTTTTCAGAACCTCAATATATTTTCTCAGAATCCAGCAGAAACGGTTATAAAGAAAAGCACACACACTCAACAGATATACCACTACCAAATGCTCCTCATTATTGCAAGACTGTAAGATATATGCATGACAGTTAAGCTTATGCATGAGCTATAAAATTGCTAGCAAAAATAAAAACAACCTACAAGAGACAGAGAGACCAATAATTTAGCTAGGGATGTAATAAATTCCTGCAAATTAGTTTTGCCCACAGACAGTGGGAAAGAAATGAAGGGGGTTTTTTCCAGTTTGATGTTTGACTGCATTGGAAAGTTATTAGGAGCTTTTTTCCAGCAGATGTATTTGTGCAGAACCATAAATTAGCAATGCGTTTATGGGTGCTTTTATCTGTGCAGACATATTTTAGACACAGTCACAACAGAGTAGAAACACGAATGTGAATGTGTGCGGTATGTTAACAATATGTTATACACTATGGTGTAGTATCCTTATTTTTATCATAAATTTTACCAGTAGTTTTTCCACTAACAGATACGGGGAGCTTGGAATGACTTGCTACAGCTGTCTTTACAACTGCTCGCTAAAAATTTCAAACTGAAAGCAACTGTATTTCTAAAACGTCGGGCCAGATGCATCTAAAGAGAGACTGACTCCACATACACATAAGTTTGTTTCATTAGCTTCCATTAGTAAATGACATAAATAAGTCCCTGGAAGTTGTTCTCACGAACACTTGCTTACCATTTACTTATAAACAAGCACATATGTGACTTAAGAAAGTCCTTCTGTTTTATTCACCTCAACATTACGGGGTGAATATGAATTAGCAGCAAAAGCTAAGACCATGCTGACATGCGATGAAATTGATGATCATTTTTCTGTTGACTTGCTTGTTATACAAGAATCACTTTGAGAAGCAACTCTGAGTACTTTTTAATCATTGATTAAAAAGCAATCACTGTAAAAGAAACTGGGAACCACAAACTGAATCTAGAAAACCTCAGAAAAAGAAAAGTTTACCATCCTTGACAACTCTACGTATTTCACTACCTTTACAATTTCAGCAAATCTACACATACTGGATTTATATAGTAGTACTTTTTGCTAGGCAGACTATTTTATTTAAAACAGAACTAGATCTGGTACTAGACCTCTAGTTAACATTTTAAAGTAGGTTTATCTAGCTAACATTTTTAATAGTCTTATTCACCCATCAACAACGTTAAAAGTAATTAAGATTTCACATACTGTTTATATTCATGAGAACTATAATAAAAATAAATTTGGTTTCAAGCCACTATACACTTTCACTTCCCTCAAATGTATTTTGAGTATATCTAATACAGTCATGCAGTATCAGATGTAGTGGTCCTTGCTTCCACACAAAGGGCGTGCACATCTACTTCAGATTCAAAACGCATAGGGTACAATCAATTCACTTGCGCCGCATGTGCCCATCAATACAAGCCCCTTCCTCCACTACCCCAGACTTTAGGTTCTGTATAGCCTGATACTCAATGAGTCTAATTTAACATCACAGCATATATCGGCTCTTACGAATTCTGCTAGAGAACTTGTGCATATACAGAGCATTTCTATTCTCCAGAGGTTTAAGGTTAGTTGTAATCTCCATGGGTAAATTGCAGCCTCTAAGCAGTCACAACTGAGTAACAGCAACAGAATATAGTGGATACTAATGAACAGAGCCTGACTATGAACACAGCTTAGCAAGTTGTGATTTTTCAGTAAAGATTATTTTGCTCCCAGAGTTTCAGAATCTCATAGTATGCTTCTCAGCATACCATGACAATATTTGCAGACTAAAGGCAGGTCCCAAAGCAGGGTACAGCCACCAAAATGTAACTTGAACCTCAATTTCACAGGAGTTTATAGGTCAAAAGGAGCAGCGTTAAATAAACACAGATTCTGAATAGCAACCAGCATAAACAAGCTCCAGCTAGAGCCGCTGTACACTCCCCCCCCTCTGTCTGGTACCAGTCAGACTCCTAGAAGCAGGCTTTGTACCAGCTGTACTGTGTTAATCATGCATGCAAGAAGACCAGCATAAGGGACACTGAAGTAGACTAAACACGACTAATCAGAAGGTGTTAACAAAGGTCTCTCCCATAACCAAAAGACAACTGGGTTTTTCACAAATATGACAGTAAAACGACAACCATATTTGAGAAATGGCAGAAGGTGACAAGACAAATCCACTAAGAGATTATAGGCTGGTACCTGCAACTGATGCATCAGCCTTACAAGCAGCAAGTGTTACTATATTTTAATGTCATAAAACTAGCACTATATACTACTATACACTGAATCTCTCCTGTAGGTTTCAAAAATTTTTCTGCGTGCATCTCTGTGATAAAATTTTCCACAAGCCCATCACGTTCAGGGATAAAACTGACTGCATTTCCATACAAGCCACTTAAAAATAAATAAATATCAAAGCCCCCCAGGAAGTCTTTTCCTATCTCATAGTAGCAAGCTGATGTTTACCATTAGGTGGCAGCGTAAGATCATCTGTTCCCTCCTCCCAGATCCACTGTTTCGGAAGCTGGCGTGGGAAGAGGGAAGCATCTGTATTGAGTGGGTGGATACAGAAGTATGTGGAATGTACTTAGCATGTCAGCATTTGCTTTCATGTACGAGATGGATTCACCATAATGACCTCTGCTACATGCAAAACAACAAACACTATTCAAAAATCTTCTAACCAACCACTAGGTCTGACCACTGTCACTGCTTTGCAGAGCACGGATTTTCTTAGTCTGACAGAGTAGGTAGAGGAGGCAGGGAACCTTTGATTAAACAAGGACTTGTCGTGCAGGAGAGGTAAAGCACGTGGTACATCTGAACAAGCAATTAATTCACAAATCTTATGTAGATCTAAATTTTCCACCAACAGATTTCAACTAGTGCCTTTATGAAACAAGCATCACATATTGTCTCCCAGAACTTGTTCAAAATTCTGAACAATTCTATGTTGGCAGGACATAACCTATCAACCTGCTGTTATAACAGCTCTAAACCGTGAAAACCAACTGAAGTACTGCAACATCGTTGTTAATGTTAGCATTTGTATACCAAGTTTCCATATTTCTCAGACTGAGGGGACTACTCTGTACAGTCTTTTTCTTCCTGCAAGCTATTTAAGCCTTCTGTAAGGGTTTCTGGCTACATCTGCACACCACAGCCAGGAATATTCCTTGGCAAGAAAGGTGGCACAGACCTGCTTTGCACTTAAAGCCAGCATAAAGATGGCAACACAAAACTAAAGATTTGTATCAGTCTTTACTCCATTTTGAAAATTAAAAAAAATAGAACACAAAGATTAAATATTTTAAATACCTATTTTTCTGGTGTGAATTAAATACTTCATAGCATACAAACAATACACACTAAGTGATAGCAATGTAAAAAAACCTCATCTAATTGGGTCAGTTCTGTGTTTTAAAAGATGAACAAACAACTGTTAGCAAGGCAGAACAAGTGTGTGCAAACACTCTTCTGTGAACACATTTGTAACTTTAAGGATCACCACTGAAACAGAATAACCACCAAATTCAAGTTTCATTATAACAGAAATTATTTTATTATTTAGCAGCTAAGACTCTTAGTTAGTTGTATGGCATAAGAACAGCAATTAATTCTCAGAAAATATTAAGAGCTTATTAGGCAGGAATTACATACACTTACTACCTGTTAAACTTGCAGGCTGAAGACGACAGCTTGCGCACCGTGTATACAAGTAACATTTAAAATATCTTGACTATGTAAAAAATAACCAGTAGGATGAGTGAATATCCTTCTCCTACTTTGCATCCTTGCAACATCTGAATATGAACAGAGAATTCCAGTGCATATTTTGAGTATTTTCAGTATATCTATTACTCCTACAGTGTATCTACAGACAGTATTCTAATTATTAATACAATGTGTTAAACCCACTATTGTCTATTTCCCTTAATTCACAGTTAAACCTTCTGTTCACTTCAACCCCAGCCACTCTCAATTAAACACCAATCTTAAATCCACTGAGTCAGAATTAATATTTTTTTTGTTCCTGTTCTCGCCAATAGTTTAATGAAATGCTGCACTTCTGTTCATTACTTACAGGATCTTTTTTCTAATATTTCAATATCCCATTTGCAACACCTTAAAAGTATCCACCTGAATGATTCAAAGGCTATGACTAATTTTTAAATACATTTTAACTGGACAAAGTACCACAAACAATGTTTTAAAAAGCCATCAAAGGAAATTCTAGAACTAAGCATAACTGATATTAAAAAAAAAATAACCACAACAGATGGGTGATTCCCATGCTGCAGATTGCCTCTTCTGTATCATTTGCTGATGACTGACAACCACTTTCTAGAGGGAGGACTTCTTTCACTCTGTAGCCTACCCACCTCCTGCCTTTTCTTCAGTGTGCTCCCATCTAGCTTATTCGTATCGTATTTTCTCACATCTCTTTTTCACTGTTTTTCTCCCTGGTCCTCTCTTTAAACTTTTCTTTTGTCTACCCCTACTTGCATAACCAACAAAAGGCACTCCTTTCCCTTCCTTAACAGCCATCAGGCTGCAGAAGTTGTAAATCCCACCAAGTCAGACCAATGCCAAACACTTCAGCTTCAAAATTAAAATACATCCCAACCTGCACACATTTAAAAATAAAGAAGCCAAACGTATTAATAAAGGAGAGGCTCTTATCCTGCAGAATCCCATCTCCTTGCATCCACAACTGTCCTTCATCATATTAGGCTTTATTTTAAAGTATCCCAAAATTCCAACAGCTTTTATCACTTCTAATAACAAATTATTCCCACATCTAGTAATGGTTTATGGTAACATCTTAATTTTCTAGTCTCTTTCTTAATTTATAATTGCCTTTTTTCACTATGTTGTACAACTTCTCAATGCTCACCCATCCCATACGTCAAGTATTTGCAAATGTGTGAATTCAGTTAAACTATATGGTATTAGAGATTATGTTATAAAAGTAAACATCACATTGCTCCAATTTTTCAAGCAAATTATGAAAGCTTTTCCACTGGGGAGGCATTTTATAATTAAAGACAGAATGTTCCATCTATACTCACAACCATAACAACATGCTGTCATTCACAGCATGAGGGCAGACCAGGCTTTCCCTTTCTTTCCCTGTCTCCTCTCTCCAAAACTTACCTCTACACAACTACTACTTGTTAATTGACTAGTGGTCCTTCTCTCAAACTGGTAATTTTCAACACCAGTGCTTGCCATAATCTTCATGCTTGACCTATAATGAACTTGGAGATCAATGAACAATGAACTAGGCTTGATATTATACTTGCCCAAAGATTTCCCTATTTTCTCCCCCCTCACAAAAAGGTTATTTTCTATCTGTATTTACATATTTCCAACATTTATTTTTCACACAAAATCTGAGGTTTCATTAAGATTATATTTTCTAATGCTTTCAGATTAAACATTTAAAATAAAATAATGTTGTTTTCCTATTTAACAAACATCTAAACAGATGACTGTAAATTAAATCCTAAATGAATGCTGTTTATGTTTCTGGAAAATAATTCTTGATCTATCACATTGACACTGTCTTAACTGTAAGAGCCACTGATTTTGGTAATGAAGTCAAACACTACATTAGAAGTTTTGTTAAAATAAGAACAAATCAAAGGTAACTGTGTCATAACAATTGTATTTACAGCAAGAAGTTTTGTGAGAAACCTATGGATAGAGGACTATACAACAGAACTAGTTATCCTGACTTAAATCCCAGACAAAATATTGGAAAAGCTGCTGTAAGTTCAACAAATACAGAATTAAAGCAGAGAAAATTAGTTTTAATGTCAGCCTGTCGCAACTGTTTCTTATAATGTTTGAGAATGTATGACAAGGGATTTGAGATTAAGTGCTTCATTGAAAAAAGTAACTAGACAAAATTAATATATTAAAAAAGACTTGCTACCAGAAGATTGATTTAAAACTTAGTTTTATGCAGCACCAATAGAATACATTACATGAATTAAAGAACTAATGACCAAAAAAACCCCAATCTGTGGAGAAGCAAACCTGAGAACATCTGTAGGTAAAGCTTTACTAAAGCCTACATTATTCTTCCATCAGTACTTGCATCATCTCTAATAACAGTTTTATTACCAATAATTTTTTATAAGTAATTGGTAAGAACATTAAGAATAAAAACTGTCATCTGGACTGAGAAGACAGACTTGTCAAGGAAGCAACAAATAGAGGAACCCAGTCAAATGCAAAAAGATACAGCTAGGATAAAGGAATCCAGGCCATCCCTATAGGATAATGTACATCCATGCCAGCAGTGAAAGTAGCAATTCAAGCGAATCAGCTAGCAAGCCACTCACAGCTGGTTGCCAGTGCAGCACTGTGGTAAAAAAGAATTACTACATTTTTTTTTTTTTTTTAATTTACAAACAGGAAAGAGAGTGGAGGAGAGACCGGAAGCTTTCTGGTAAGACACTGAAGTATTGTCCGCAGTCCTAGAGTCCACATTTTAACAGGGATGGAAAGATGCAAAAGACGAAAGAAGTAACAGTCAGAAGTTACATCAGAGGCTGAGAAAAATACTTACGAAGAGACAAAATCTTCAGCCTACTACAAAAAGTTGGGTTAGTACTTTGAAAAGAAAGAAATGCACATATTCAGACTAGGAAAGAAATGCACAGCCAGAGGCTGGAAGCTGAAGACAGATCCACTAGAAATCCCATAAAGATTTTTGGGAAAGTACAGTTTTCCCATCAGAACAAGGTAACAATGAACACCACAGATGTTCCCCAGTGCACGCCTCCTCACAGAGTATTCAGCAGATGAGACCCCTATTAATAACTTAATTTTAAATAGCCTTGGTTTTGGTAGAGCTGGTATCTTGATTAAGAGAAATAATATTCCTGATGCTATTTCTACCAGTTGGCAGGTTTGAAGCCCTAAGAGTGTCCTATTTAAACCCCTCGAATTCCATTTATCACTCACTATCAAGTTTCTGTTTCAGAAAAAAAATGTAATAAATTCCACCATACGTATGAAGGAAAGCAAAAAAGTCTGTGGGTTGGAAAACAGTATTAATATTTCAATAAAATAAACTAGTTGATGTGGTATAATAAATCACATTTTACAGTGCAATTTTAGCAATAGATAGCAATCTAAACATCCTTAAAAGCCTCATGAAACTCAAATACAACAGTAAGTATTCCATAACTGCGATGAATAAATCCAGAGCCTTAGGTTATTTACCAATCTTCAAAATCTAAACATCACTGTGGTTCAATATATCAGGCTTTTAGATTATCTACAGTTCTAATTGATGATCCAAAATGAGGATTATGAAGCACAATAGAATGTGCGCCAACAACTCTTCTGAGTATCAAATAGCATACCAACAGCTAATATATGTATGTATTTTTAAATCTTTCCCTGCCCTGTAAACTGTTAAACTTTTTTGGAATTCACAAACGCACATATAGAGAAAAACACTAAAAAAGTGGTTTAAAGGCATTTGGTACTCACTTGTCTATCTCAATACCAAGCGGATTAGCTGGACGTAGGGACAGGGGGGGAATCCCTTTGTTCCTATCAGTGCGCATGTCATAATAGTTCATTTCATCCACCCAGACAGCAGACTGATCCAAGATACCTAGAGAAAACAAAGCATAGATCCTTAAAACAACAAGGGTGGTCCAGCACCATCAACTTCTAACATACTGAATTAATTTGAAAAATCTCAATAAATACAAAGTGCATGCCTAGGTAATACATTGGAAGATAGATGGCAAAACAACCTGGATGCAATTATGATAAATTATTTTATTACAGCTGCTGAAAAGGTATTCGTGGCTGGGCATCAAACAATACCTCTTGCAGAGTGCACAGTTTCACGTACATTAAGAGCATTTTCCTGATAACAGAGTATTTTTTATTCCTCTGAGTATTTTTGTTATCTGTCCAAACCTTGTCATCTATTACTTGCAAAATGACCAATTACCTGGAGGTTGTCTTACTTGCATATTTTAGGGACAATCCCTTTTCTGTGCCGCCCACTAACCAAAAAGTAAACTTTGGCCACATGCCAAGATGGATGAGTCAGTGGACACAGGACTGACTTTGTTTCCAAAGCCTTAGCACAAGCAATGTGTAAAGGTGAGGCACAATAAGTCTTGGCCCTCAGCCAAAAATGCAGCCAGCCATATTCTTGGCCATACCCTTTTTTAACATAACCATCAGATACTCAACATGAGAAATTACCCCATCCCCACACTTACCCATCTTTTAAAATATCAGTTCTCCTCTCCCATCACCAGAAGCTTGACTGTAACATTTGCACTTGATTCACCTTTCTGTCAATAAGATCTTAGTACAGCTTGGGAGAAATTATGTGTTTTTTAACTGTCACTTCACTGCAGAGAACAAAAGCCTAAAATAGTTCTTGTGGGAACCCCTATGTTAGTAAAGATAACTATCCAACTACATCAATGAGGTGTTCTGAAAGAAACATTTTCAATCTAGAGGGTATTTAGGTGGGATTCTAGACTAAGGAGAGGTCCTAGACTGCTTGGCAACATAATTTCAATGGTTAAGAATCTCATGAGAAATACTTAAGGCTTTCTGTCTTGCAGAACGGTTTAAATTACGAATAAGAAATGGCACTGAGGACTCAACTTCCTTTAAAGGATTAACTGTCAGCTCAGGATTTAGGTGTAAAGCTCATGAGCTGATTGATATTTTGTATTTATCTAGTACACTTAAGAGTAATCACTGTATTCGTTTGGAATTTTTTTTAAATTGTAGAAGTTTAGTGCTACTCCTTACAGAAAAAAAAAAAAAAAGGGTGCATCCATTTTGAACATACATTTCATTTAAAGAAACACTCAGTTTTATCTTTGTTTAGCAAAGAAAACAGATGTGAATTTGGACAAGAAAAGTACCTATTTTTTCAGGTTTAAGCAGTTTGAAGGAAACGGTTGAAGTTCCTTTGCCACCAGACTTTGTAGTAACAATAATGTCTCCCTTGTCATTTTTAGCCTGTCCGACTCGACACACAATTTTACTGGCAGACATCCATTCAGCAGTCAGCAGACAGTTGTGCCCACAGATTGTTAAACCTAAGAAAAAAAGAAACCCTACTGTGAACAGAAGTATCTTTTGAAATTCAGTAATGCAATGCATTTATGATGCTTCATATGTTTTCCATAAATACATCTCTAGACCCTTCTCTAGTCCCTTACAGCTAACTACAGTGAGTCACAAATATGTTTTTCAGATGTTCCCTAGGTGACCTCAGGTCTTTTGTCCTGCCACCACTTCATGAGACACATGCAGAGCTGCTTGAAGCTCATTTTAAACTCCTCCAACGGTTATGGGCTACTGCAACTTTTCCTTCATGTTGTACAATAGATCTTCTGTCTGCAAGACACTAGAGAACTGCTGTTCAGTATTGCACTTATGTGAAACTTCCATCAAAACTGCATAAAAAAAAAAGTATGTAAGTTCACTCTGTGTGACTTTGCATAGTAAAAAAATACAGAAGCTCTACAAAATATTCCCAATGAACAATATCTCTCTGACCTTACTTGTTTAGAAGTACTTTCGCAGACACAGACAAGTTTTTTTGGTCAAAAAAAGGTATTAATTGATTAATTGATACCAATCTCTTCTGTACAAAATGCATGATGCAAGACTGTGATTCTACTGAATAAACTGCCCCTGTGATATGAAAGAATGGTCATGTAATGTTCATCTATGTTCTCTTCTAAACCTTCTCATAACACCAGTACAAATTACAAACTATAAAATAAAAATACAACATATATTTCAGCCATGAAGCTCACCTGTAGGAAAAGACTGTGGCATACCAAAATATGTCAAACTTCAGTGTTTAAAAAGACCTCTTAGCACCTAAAATATAAAGTGCACCTTAATATAAGGTCCAAGGCTTCCTGGGGCTTCAAGTCAGATCAGTCTGACCAACTGATCAATCTGACTAATCAATCTGATAGACTCCAGTCAGATCAGGACTCTGGATGCTGGAATAGGTGGATTGTTTTCTCAGATCTAGAACAATTCCCATATTCCTACCTGGAGTTTTGTTGTCATGAAGAACTGGCAAGATGTTGATTTCTATAGTATACAGATCAATTAGTAGAACAACTTCATTAGGTTCTTCTTAAATAACACCCTTACCTAGAAACATTTTGCCTTGTATCAAAAGGACAATGCTGTAGTAGTGTGTTGGCTGTACTGAAGTATAAATTAGTCAGGCATAGCAGTTCCTCCTCTGCTAGCTTGGCTTTTGTTTTTAATTTCTAGAAAGCTCTGACCAATTTAAAGGACAGACAGAAAAGGGTCAGCATATGTGGCTTGGTACCAAAGCTTCACACTTACTTTTTCTACACAATTTAAGTCTCTGACATTACACAGCAGACAAATTTGGCAGTTTCCATGGCTGTCAGATGTAAAAATACTTACTCCTGCCAAAAACTATTTTGAAAACAAAAAACAAAAAAATAAAAACCAGAAAGGCACTGAAACTTACTACAACTGAAAGCAATTTTACTTCAGCAATGACAGTTGTTTCTTAAAAGACGCCTGAACAAATGAAGGGTCGGGAGGGGGATGGACGACATATGGATTTTAACCTCAGTTTACATTATTACATCTCTTTTGGTTTTATGCTAGTAACTTCTCTGAAGGAAAAATGATTGTGGTAGGAACTATGACTAACTGAAATAATTTGTCTGAACCATTCATAAAGAGGTTTTCACCCTAGAATTTCAAAGGTCTGAATTCATGCTTAAATTAAGTAATAGTTTAAAAATCATGACCTGAGCTACAGCAATTTAGTACGGCAAAAATTTTTTAATCAGTCAATTATTTTCTACTCAGCAGAGGTTCCTAAAGCTGTCAAGAGAACAGGACCACAAGATCCAACACTTCTGAAACGGAGCAAAACAGCCTTTGTATCTTAAAAACACAGAAGAAAGGAAGTTTCTATTAATATTTTATATACCACACTAGATATAGTAATAGCACAAGACAATTTCTAAAACAAATAGAAGGTATGATCAAGGAGACCTTTTGATAGTACAGATACAACACTTTTTTCTACAAAGAGAAAACTCTTTAAATAAAACATTTTAATCTGCTGCATCGTACAAATGTTTTTGAGAACATCATGCTGGGTTCTAGCTTTAATGTGCCTTTCAATAAATAGGCACAAGTAATTCTCTTATTGGGACTTTCAAATTTTGTTTACACTTACATATTGACAATTTTATAATATCCACAAAATACAGCTGCAAACGTCTTGAAAGACAAACTAAACCTTGAGAGCATAAATGTTGCAGGTATCTCCTGGATTTGATTTTTTGTACCATGAGCTATACAGTTACAAATAAAAAGTTTATTTGGTTTCAAAGATACAAACAGATTACAAGGCAGCTCTCTCCTGAGTGAAACTTAAAGGCATATTCTTCCATTATGTGACCTTCCGTTTATATATAAAAAAAAAAGTTTCTTGCTTTTCATTTTACTCTAATGCATCTCAAATAGCAGATTATAATCTTTATAAAACCCTCACTCAATCTTGCTTAAATCTCATGCCTACAAAGGCCCACTTTTGCAAGTATTTCCATCCAAGTCACAGGGAATATTTACATGCCTAATTTAACCATGAAAAGAAATCTTTACATGTCTGGGGCCTTAGTCATTAGAGAAAACTGAGAATGGAGCTAAGGAAAAAAATAAGGCAAGCCATTATTTATTTTTTTATTTTTACCTCAAAGCATGAAATTATTAGCAGCTATGTGTTACAAGAGTTACCCCGAAAAAAATGAGAAAAAATATTAGCAGTTAATTAGCTGTAATACTGAGACGCAGTTCAGGAGATGCCTTCTTCCTAAGAACCTAGCACTGATCACTTCTGAGAGGATCACATCAATGAACTAAGGAGGTTATCAAGGTATATCAACTACGCAAATACACAGAAATATACTCACCTGTAACATCATCAGTTATTTGATTATTTCTCAATAAAGATTCATTAGTGTACCGCAACACTGCCTAGCAGCTCAGGAAAATACTACTTTCCCCTCCGACGGGCAGCAAACTGAAGTGAAGGGGAAAATTGTAAGAGCTTATGCTTGGCCATGAAGTTCATTGTGGTGGCCAAGAACTGAATCCGTGAATCTTGGTTTACAGCCATGAAGTGAAATATTGTTTCTAGCAAAGCCAAACAAAATTCCAATGGACTTCAGAGGAGTCACGATTCCACAACACATTAGATAAATTGTCTCTAATATGAATACTGAAGTACACATATGCTTAACTTGCAAAAGAAATAAGGGAAATTCCAGTAGTTACAGTTAACTTGGATTTCCAGACGATTTTACAAACTCCATCCGAAAGACTTAAGAAAATTAAGCAACTATAGGACAAGATCCTCAAATAGATAAATAGCTTGTTAAAAGATAGAAACAAGGTTACAGTAAATTATGTGTTTTCACTAATGAAAGTTTTGACAAGGTATGTGCTGGGATTGCTGATGTTCAATATATTCATAAATGACATGCTAAAGAGGTTAAAAAGTTTGCTGATATTTATTCTGAATGTAAAGACCATAAAAACTAGAAAAAAAATGCGGAATGACCTTGTGAGACTGAATGGATGCGCTACAATGTAGATGCTATAAAACAGCAGCTGAAATGCAATGAACAAAAATAGATGCACACAGGCAAAACCTTAAATTGACAGATGACAGCGTCAAACTGACTACTAACCCTCAAGCATTAAATCATGGGACTATAATGTGCAAAATAACAAAAAACATTTGCTTGATGTTTAGTAGGAGTTACATGGAAAACAGAGTTCTATGGAAGAAATACAAAACAAAAGTGAGAGTACAGTATTTATGCCATAGTGTATTTACATCCTGAACACTGCGTGTAACCAAATGTTGTTCACTCATCATTGGTAGTGAAACCAAAAGAGATTCACTGAAGAGCAACAACAGGGTCAAAGATGCGTGCAAAAAATTTAAATACACCAGGACTTTTCAGCCTGGAAAAGAGGCAACAGAGCAGTGATGATCAAGATCCATAGGGTCAGGAGAATCAGAGAAAACTGCTTGTTCCCTCTTTCAACGCAAGAGCTATGATGATTCAAATGAAGTTACCATTTTAAAATCAAAACAGTGAAGGAAATGGTTATTCGCATAATGTGTAGGTAAATCTTTGAACCCAAGTTGTTATAACTGTTGCAGACACACAAACTGACTTTTACAGTAATTCAAGGAATAGCAACGCCCAGTGACTCTCTCAATAAATTGAAAACACTTCTGATAGAAAAGTCTCCATACTGAAATTCTCAGTCCCTGGGAAAGTAACAAAGGAGTGTGTTGTTACATTCACCCTCTTCTTATGCACTCCCACAGGCATTCATACTTAGCCAGTGTTCAGCACAGGATGTTGAGTCAGGCTACGGGTTCATCTAACAAAGCATCGTCACTCTGATTTGTCTCACATGGGGCAGCATCCCTGAATTTGTTGATTCAAGTGCATATTTGTGAAAAGAGCATTCCTCATAACACGCAACACAGATTTTACCATGAAAAAAAAAAATAAAAATTATCTCTTATCATATCCTAACTGTGACACTGTACAGTCTCAAAATAAGGGTTTTTGTTAACTCACCTATGAGGTCTGTAGGCCCAGTCCCCAAATTTTCTCCTCTAATTGTCACTTTTGTCCATGAGATGCCTTCATTGGGGGAGATGCCAGTTACAAGGGGGGGCGGCCGTGCTCGAGACATGATGTCTATTCAGTTACTCAAAACTGAGTTGCTTTTATCTGTTCAGCAAGAAACAATTACTTAAAAACAATAATTAAATCATGTAAAAATTAAAAACCTTTTAAGCTGTTCATCTAAAATGTTAAAGAGAAAAATATGAATGTAAATATGGAACACCACTCTCAAAGTATTTTTTGCTACATAGTCATAAACCAGAAAAGAATATGTACACCTTCTTTGCACTTTTTCTTTGATTAACTATAGCTCTAGTCCTGAACAGTAAAGAAAAAGTATATTCAGAAAAAATATTAAACCCTCAAAATGCTTAATGAAACTATACACACACACACTCCAAATCACTTATGTCAGAATTCAAATGATCCTGTTCAATCCTCTATTAGAAAGTTTTATTGTATTCCTTAGAAATTTTGGAATTGCCAAGCTAAGTAACACACTGATTACATATTCGAATTACTTCCCCATCAAAAATAGATTTACTGGCACAGCCAGTCCCATGGGGAGAAGCCTCCAGCACTTATTTGTATAAAGCACTGACATTTACATAAACTGAGAAAATTAAAACATTGCTTACAGACCCAATACTAGGACAGAACATCATCAAAACAAGTAATATCCCCACAGATCAACAAAAACACACATAAAATTAACAAAGAATGGCCAGAAGTGTATTCCTTCGCACCTGGAATTAGGAGTCAACTCAAACCAGTTTAATTAGCTCTGTAACAGAAACATCAATATGGTACGCACGCTAAGCGGCCTACATTTAATTTACTATGGAACTGATCACGAATTCCTATGACTTATAAGCAGTTTCCTTTGTGCAGCTCTGCAACCATAAGAAGCAGATGAGCATAACCTGAAGCACATTAGCTCCCACCAACTCCTGCACATTTACAACACTTACTAAACATAGAGCCTGCCCATAGGCACACAGGTCTTACAGAAGTCATAAGACAAGCAAAAAAACTTCTCTTAAGGACTACCACGGTAATTTTGCATCATCTATTCCATTTCATGACTCCTGAATTGTTCTACTGAGACACAACAGCATCCTTAAAATTCCTAGTAAAAAAAATTAATTTGGTATTCTGGAACTTTGTGAAATTATCTATGATCACTTTCTAATAGGAATTCATCTGCACTGGAACAGTAAGAACCCAAAGTAACCTATAGGAAGAAATGTTTTTATTTCTAAGAAAATGCAGGAATGAGGAAACAGGTGAGTATTCAAAAACCTTAGGTACACATATAGAACACTTTAGCACACACAATTTTAAAAGTTCAGGTTGGTAAGAAATATGTAGGATATAAGCCAAGCTTCATTACACTTCTCTTATGTATTTTTATGTTAGATCAAGGTATATTTTCTATTTTTCCTTGCGAACAGTCACGTCCGTGAAACCCAGAATTTCTGTAAATCATCCCTAGCAATAAACTGCAGTGAAGTTGCAGTTTCTAAGCACTAGTAGTTAGGAAATACCAGAATGAAGTAAGCTATCTTTGTTTCAGCTGCTTCTGCGTACACAAATTACATTCATGGTACCATCATACACCATGCTTCTACACAACCTCCCTAAATTGTTCAGTTTTACTACATAAATCTGCCAGGAGGACCAAAGAACCTCCCACTCACTCACTGGTTTCTTTCTTCACGTTCTGAATTTGGAATGCACACTGAAAATGAAGATGGAAATTGGAAAAGCAGGAATAAGAAGGAAGATCTCGTGAAAGGAATCAAATACAGTCCCCAGAGCAAGATCTTGTCTCTATACCACAGATGCATAGCCGGTCACTTATAATAAAACTTTACACTAACACTTTCTTCTCGGTTTCCGTGTATCCAACTTCAGAGCCCACAGCCACATCTGAAGTCCGTGTGAAATGTACCCTGGACACAGGGAACACTGCACAATGCTCCAAAGTATTCAGGTGCTAAATAACCACCTCAAATCTCTAAATATATTTGATCTTAAATGTCTGTTTGTCAGTTTCACATATTTAAAGTATGAATGCTATCACACTTCTCTAAAGCTATTTTGAAGACAAATTCATTAATACGGCATCGGCATTTCGATACTCTGAACACCCCTGAACTACTAATATAACTAGAGAACTTTTGAGACTACCTTTGAAGAGTGTGGAATTAATAAGAGATGCCAATTCCTGTTGAACAAGCAAGAACATAGTAAGTTGCAGTATGTGACCCATGTTCAGTACACGGAGGAAGTCTGGTAAGAGCCCACCATAACACACACAACATGTGTCTGGAACTAAGGTGGTTTGTTTTGGTTTTGTGTTTTTAACTGGTAATTAACTCGTAACATTTCTTGACTGGCTAACTTCACAACATTGAAAATTACGTTATGTTTTTAATAAAACATTAATTTCCCAGGGTTTTTTGCAAAGAATAAACTGATGAAAAAGGCATTAAGTTATATAGTATCATATAGATGCTCCTATAAGTCTATAGGTAAAATACTATGTAACCTCTTACATGAACCAACATGAGGCTACAGAAGTGAGTAGTCAACAGATGCAGTCTATGACCTTCTGGGTAGAACAGCACTGAAGGAAAGGAGGACAGTATCGGCAGATTGCAAAGAAATCAGCTCACAGTCATCTCCAGGTAGGGGGGAGAAGGTTGTGTGCTGGCAGGCAGCATTCCCTCCCTCCTGCCCTACTATTTCTTCCCAGCACTGTTTTTGCCATCACACAGGGACAGCCACTCTCTGCCTCATTTCGAAACCAAGGCCAGGTCCTAGTCTGGCTGCCGAACTATTTCCTGCCACTATCCTGCCAATCTTCCTTCTGACTTATCCGTAAATTCACGCAGGGAGGAAGAGGGGGTGTTACTATCCCAATTCTCCTTTCAAATCCTGACAGCTTGGCAATTACTCTTCCTTACCTCCCGTTCCTTAACACAAGCCTTCTTGCCCCGATAGCCCACCTGCACCACTTTCTCACCACAGCTGAAAATGATAGACTCCATCTTCTGCCCAGATCCCTAGTCCTGCAGTCACAAGGCTTGCCCAGCCTCATCTGCACTGCAAAGCTACATGACCACAGCATCGCCTGACAAAACAATGGGCAGCACAACAGAAATAAGCTTCCCAGTTCTGATTGCCAAATCTAATACTACCTGGAGCAATCAGAATGGAAAGTCTTGTTTATTCCTAAGCAATTACAAGATGCATAAGCACAGAAGTTCAGACCTTTCAGAATTTGAAGTTTCCTCTGGAGTTCTGTGCAAACAAGACGTTAGAGAAGAATTGGGTGCCTAAGTTTACTTAGAGCAAGGAGGACAAACTGCATCTCTCCCTGCTGCTCTTATCCACGTAGTGTTCACAGCTTTTCTCACAGATCCTCAGCAGAGCTTGAAGACATACAACAGCTGTAAAGGGGTTATGTCTCCACATACACACCTAGCCACCTTCTGCAGGAAGCAGTGTGTGTCTAGATATCACTCAGACAACATAAAACACCTCTTCTACTGCTGAGCAATTTTTTGTAAAGATTTATATAGAATGTTAATCAGTAACACAGATGTAAAAAAGGCAGCTTCAGGAACTCAGTGGTAATATGGAGAGGAAGAAATCTTGGGGAAAACAAGTAAACTAGAAGCTACTTTGGTATTATTGACTTCATTTTCTCACCCCCCTTCCCCCCAATGTTACGGTTCCCTTGCATTGCAGCCATTGTTTCTTTCAAAATACCTAGGCACACAGGTAATTGGCTTGAATCAATACCAAAACTCGAGAATAATATTACAACATATTCTTCTGGATTTCAGAAATTGGCACTAGATCTCCCTTCATGATGATCCGAATAAATGTAATAAAAATGCTGAGCCTCCCGAGTTCTAATATTTCTTCCAAAGTACTTCCATACTTACTGCAGAATTGCTTTAAAATACCTCACTGAAATGAGAAGACCACAGTAAATCTCAACACATTACAGAAGCACTACAGCACTGAGACGCTCTATTATTACTACTATTATTATGATTTATAAATATCAATTGGTTTCACTTATTTCAAAGAGTAAGTGAAGGAACTCTATGGAATCTGTCCCTATTGCAAATACCAAACAAATGCCTGGGAACCTTCAATTAATTTCTATATTTCCTTTCCTCCTCCTCCTTACAACAAACAATAGTTAAAATGACTGAACTGCTTATTGGGAAGCCTAGCCAGTATACTACCGTGTCCCAAAAGTAAGTTTCTAGGTTGTTGTTTGGTTGGTTTTTTTTTTAAATCTTTCAGGGATAAGATGAAAAATAATTACTTTTTCACTTCATTAAAAAATACACCAATCTAATAAAGAACTCTTGTTGCGATTCTACACATTTCCCTAAAGAGAAATTATATTTCTTACAAATATGTATTATGCATAAAATAATAATATTTTTAAAAACAGCCTTCTTACTGAAAGACTGATTCTTATACAGACTAGGGGAGATTGCATAAAGACAGTTTTCTATGCAAGACATTTCCTCTGAGGAGCCAGGCTCACTGAAGAAGTTCTAACAAAACTTTTATTTTTTTTTGCAATGGACAGTCGTATTCTACACTAACAGAGGTCTCTTTCCCTCTTCTCCCCCCTCTTTTTTTTTTAAACTTCATTTCCGCACAGTATCTCTCCAACAGATATCCGTTTGACTGCTGCCATGATCTTGCCCATATTACTCTCTCTATTATTCTGTCATAATTTTTGTTATGAAAGTGCAAGGAGTTAGAAAGGTTCTGCAAAGACCACCTACTACAAAGCCATCTTGAAAAATGCCTTTCATAAACATCATCTTTGTCTTTACATGAGCTTCTCAAATAAACTGTCCTCTCACAGAGGTTTGGTCAAAAAAAAAGAAAAAAAAAAATCCAGACAGTTCTGAGCATTACAAGCTTGGTAAAGAGGGGACATCTTCACTCTTTATCCTAAGAAAACCACTTTAAAAACAAATAATGAAGAAATGAAATATGGCCCAACATATGGGAAAATACAATTGTAGTTGCTTTTTTGACTTTTGTAAGCC